AATTCTAGCTACAGTTAATACATGTAAAATCAAGTATATAGTCTTTTTATCATATTTTTCTGGTAGAATATATTGTATTAGTTTGCAGTTTCTTATTTGTTAGATCGGGTAGATCGGTTCTCAGGAAGACGCGAGACCAACAGTGAACATTCAGCCCTTTATTTACTTTAAATCAGTACAAAAGCCTTGGAGCTGCGGCAATCCTTCATATAGGGCTGCTTGCGGCTCGCCGGCCAATGACAGGCATTCGAATTCCCCGCGATCAGTTTGGCCAATCGCGGGCGATTCGTCGAGACCCAATCATGGCCGGTCAGTCGGCCAATCGGGTTATGGTCTGTGTGGACCAATCGGTTTGCAGTGTTTCAAGAATGTTAATATAGTACACCCCTCCCCTCTTGGTTCAGTCCTTACGTAGGATGGTCACGTAGTCGCGCAAGTAGGCGGGGCGTCGTACCTGCCTAGTTGACCTGCGTGGCTCAGTTGTTGTTGAGTCTTCGACCAGTTCGGACGGGCTCCGTGTCGCTCTCAACTCCGTTGATGGAACTGCCTGGAAGGGTTAGCCGGGCCTATGGCTGCAACTCTCACCCGGTCTACCTGGTTCGGTCGAGTTGTCGGCTCTGTCATTCCCGCCTGGTCTTTCTGGGCTGGTGGAACTGGCTTGGCTGCTCCTTCCGGGTGAAGCCCCCGTCCTTTCCTCTGCATGGTCTCCTGGTGAGTATTGCTGGTTAATTTGTGGGTTTTTGGTGGGTGTTCCTGGTTTTTATGTTGCGGTTTCCCCCCCTCTTCCAGTTCCTTTAGTGGTGTTTTCTGGTGGTGTTTGTAGGCTGTCTGTGTTGGTGGCTAATCTTGACCTTAGTTGGTCGATATGCCTTTTCCAATTCCGCCCATCGTCTGTTTGTAGCCGGTATGATCAGGGGCCTGTTACCTGGGTTATTTTCGCAGGTACCCAGATGGGATCCCCCGTGAAGTTTTTTACGTAAACGGTGTCCCCTGTTTTAAATGCTCGGTTCCTGCTTGATGAGTCTGGGGGTTTCTCGGAATTATATGTGGGGTGCAGTCTATCTAATTTGGACCGTACTTTTCTGCCCATAAGTAGTTCTGCTGGGCTTTTGTTGGTTGTCGTGTTGGGTGTTATATGTTGTATGAGTAACAATTTATTTATTTTTTCCTGTATATCCCTGGTTTCGATTTTTTGAATGGCTTTTTTTGTGTATTGAACCATGCATTCCGCCCACCCATTCGCCGCCGGATGAGCGGGCGCTGTCAAAGCATGCCGTATCCCTTTTTCTGCCAGGAACTTTTCAAAGGCTAGTGCGGTAAATTGCGGGCCGTTATCCGACACTAGTACGTCTGGCAGCCCATGTGTGGCAAAGAGTTTACTTGGTTTTTTAATGACGGCTTCTGTGGTTGTTGTTTTCATGTTGCTTCCCTCCAGCCAATTGGAGTAAGCATCTACGGTGATCAAGAACGTGTGCCCTCTGGTCGGCCCGGCGAAGTCTATGTGAATCCTAGACCAGGGGCCCCTGGGGGTTTCCCATTCCAGGATTGGTGCGGCGGGGGGGGGGGGTTTGGCCTGGTTTCTTGGCCCCTTTTGCATGCGGCTACCCAGGTCTCGATTTGTTTGTCCACCCCCAGCCACCAGGCATAACTCCTGGCCAGGGCTTTCATTTTAACGATGCCCAGGTGCCCCTCATGCAACATTGATAGTACTGTTTTTTGCAAAGTTTCGGGAATTACAACCCTGTCCCCCCACAGTATGCAGCCTTTCTGGGTAAAGAGTTCTGTTTGCCGGTTCCGGAAAGGTTTGAAGTGTTCGTTGCTGTTATTTTCCGGCCACCCTTTTCCAACCCAGCTCAAGACTCGTGCCAGCCGCTTGTCTTTATTTGTTTCTCTGGCAATGTCTGGCACGGTCAGAAGGGGGTTGGGCAATGTCTCTACCTGCAGGGTTGTTGTTGTGGGTGCTGGGTCATCCTCTTGGTCTGGTAGGGGGGAGCGGCTTAACGTGTCTGCATGTGAAATGTTCTTGCCGGGTCGGTGCATTAGCCGGTAGCTGTAGGCGGCAAGGAACTCAGACCACCTTGTCATCCTAGGCGACAGGATGTTCGGGGTGGCCCTGTCCCCTGCCAGGATCCCTAGCAGCGGCTTGTGATCGGTGATGATAGAAAAGGTCCTACCGTAGAGGTACTCGTGGTACTCGGAGATGACTGCTAGGGCCTCCTTGTCTAGCTGGCTGTAGTTTCTCTCCGGCTTGGATAGTGTTCTCGAGAAGAAGGTGATGGGTGCCTCCTTTCCATCCGGTAGCATGTGGCTGAGGACGGCCCCGATGCCAAAGGGCGACGCGTCGCATGTCACGGCTAGCGGTAGAGTCTCGCTATACTGAATGAGAACTGCGTCCGAGGTTAGTAGTTCCTCTGTGCATTTGAAAGTGTTTTCCTCCCACTTCCCCCAGGTCCAAATGGCTGTTTTATCCAACAGCCTATGCAAAGGTTCCTCCACGGTCGCCTTATGGGGGAGGAAAACATTGTAAAAGTTAATCAGTCCTAGAAAGGCTTGCAGTTCAGTTTTGTTTCTTGGTCTAGGGGCTTCTTTAATGGCTCTGAGTTTTTTGTCGGTGGGGTGGATTCTGTGCTTGTCAAGGAGGTAGCCCAGGAACTCAACCCTTTCGGTGCACAATTGGCATTTCTCTTTTTTGACTTTTAGCCCAGAGTCTTTGAAATTTTGTAGTACCTCCCTCAGGCGGCTTTCCAGTTGGGTTTTATCGGTAGCCGCCACTAGCACGTCATCAAAGTAGGGCACCACTCCCTTGATCCCCTGAAGCAGCCTTTCCATTAAGCTCTGGAAGACCCCCGGTGCCACGCTGACTCCGAATTGGAGTCTATTACATTTGAAGGCCCCTCGGTGGGTTACAATAGTTTGTGCTTCTGCCGTTTCAGCATCGACTGGCAGTTGCTGGTACGCTTGAGCCAGGTCGAGCTTTGCGAAGACCCAGCCTCCCCCCAGTGAGTGCAGGAGGTGCTGTACTACTGGGACGGGGTAGGCGCTCTGCTGCAGTGCGTGATTAAGGATGGCCATGAAGTCACCACAGATTCTTATGGACCTGTCTGGTTTGATCGGGGTGACTATGGGCGTCTCCCACCGGGCATGGTCAATTGGCTCTAGAACCCCTTGCGTGATGAGCTTGTCTAATTGCTCATTGATCTTGGGTTTGAGTGCGAATGGCACTCGCCATGGTTTGAGGCGGATTGGGGCAATGCTAGGGTCTAGATTGAAGGAGATTGGGGACCCCCAGTACTTGCCTAGGTTGCTGTCAAAGACTTCCCGGAAGTCCCTTGCGAGCACTGCTTCCCAGTCGGCCTCAGTGATGTGGTTGATGCCCGTCACCTCGATGTCTAGTGGCGCGAACCATTGTAGTCCCAGCAAGCTCGGGTGGTCTCTGTCCATGATGGTGAGTGGAAGCACCTCAGTCCATCCCTTGAAGGTGATCTTGAAATGGCCGATTCCGACTACAGGGATGCGGTTTCCCTGATAGTCCTTCAGGATTAGTTTTTGGCTCTGCAGTTCGCGTCAGTGAAGGGTAGGCACCAGGCACTTGATTGTGCGCCAGGAGACCATGGAGAGATAGGACCCGGAATCCACCTCCATCTCACATGGTTGATCCTCAATGCCTACCTCCACATACACCTTCCGGGTATCGATGGTCGAGGAGTGGCCGATGACGACCATCTGATGTGTCTCCTCTGTTGGCTGTGCCTTGCTGAGCCGCCTGCTCCGGCTGTCTTGGCTCCAGCAACTCTTGGTATGGCGGTCCTTGGTTCGGGGGGGGGGGTGCCATCTCATCGCCGGGGGCTGCCGGCTCGATGCCAGGGGCTGTAGTTCCGCTTGTTCCGGCACACCTTGGCAATGTGCCCCCGCTTGTCGCAATGCCGGCAGATGGCATCCAGGAAACGGCATTCCGAGTGGGGGTGATCGCCTCCGCAGCCGGCACACTGGAACCTCGACTTACGTCCACTTAGTTCCCGCCTCTTGCGTGCTGCCTGGAGTCGGTGGATTTCTTCTTCCTCGTCCTCAGTGTCAGAGAGGGAGTCGACGCTGCCATGGTGGGTGGCGGTGGTCACCCAGTGGCTGGTTTCTGCGTGCTTCTCTGAGGCTGGGGTTGTCTCGATGGCCGATGGCCGGTCCGCTGCATTTGCCTGCCTCATCCGCGCCGCCAACTTTCGGGTTGCCTCTGCTGCCGTTGCCTCGGTGATGGTGTCGGCGAGGGAGATGTCGCCCTTGGCCATCAGCCTGCTCTGTAGGATGGGGTCCCTGAGTCCTAGGACGACTCGGTCTCGCAGGGCCTCATCCATGTCGGTGAACCCACACAGACCCCCGAGGTCCCTCAGCGCCGCCACAAAGTCGCTGATGCTCTCATTCTCATGCTGGTTCCATCGGTAGAATTCGTGCCTTCGGATGAGGGTGGGCACGGCAGGGGCATAGTGGTTTCGGAGTATGGGTTCAAGCTCGGCCCAGTCCATCTCTTTTACATCGGCGGGCTTGGGTAGGGCTTTGGCCATCTTGAAGACCGTGGGCCCGCAGTGTGTTAAGAACAGGGCCCTTTTTTTCTGCCTGTTGGCATCCTTGAGGTTGCTGCACTCCAGAAACATCTGGAACTGGTCGGTGTAGGATTCCCAATCCTCAGCAGCCAGGTTGAAGGGTGCGGGTGGCGAGGTACTGCCAGCCATTCTGCGGGTTATGTTGCGCCGCTCACCACGTGCTCGGTTGGTCTCTTGTCTCACGATCCCATCCTCGTCGCCAGAGTTAGATCGGGTAGATCGGTTCTCAGGAAGACGCGAGACCAACAGTGAACATTCAGCCCTTTATTTAGTTTAGATCAGTACAAAAGCCTTGGAGCCACGGCAGCCCTTCATATAGGGCTGCTTGCGGCTCGCCGGCCAATGACGGGCATTCAAATTCCCCGCGATCAGTTTGGCCAATCACGTGCGATTCGTCAAGACCCAATCATGGCTGGTCAGTCGGCCAATCGGGTTATGGTCCATATGGACCAATCGGTTTGCAGGGTTTCAAGAATGTTAATATAGAACATTATTAGTTTCATGTTATATCATTTCAGAACTGCTTTCACCCATTCAGAAGAATTCTTGGGCTAAGTCAAATTAGAAGTAATTTTGCAAAACCAGAATCAATAAAATGTTAATTTCATTGACTAATGCATTATCTTTTCAGGATAACATTGACACAATACTGGAAAATCCTTTCCTTCCTTTTTGCTATCCAGGAGATTAACCGGGAATCCCGTTTCTTGCCCAATATCACTCTGGGTTATAATATCTATGAAAATTATTTCAATGCAGGGAAGACTTCGGATGCTTTGCTGGACCTGCTTTCGGATGGGGAGGCCAATGTCCCCAACTACAGTTGTGGGAGGCAGAGAAACACAGTGGCTGTTCTGGAAGGGGCTGAGACTGGCTTCTCCATCCAGATATCATCCATGTTGGGCACCTACAAAATGCCACAGGTGATTCTTTGCTGAGAAGATACATTTTAATTGTGCAGCTTTTGCTCGAAGGTCCTTCTGGGACAGAATTGGAGTCTTGCATTTTGGCTTTCATGGGTCTCAGATAAAACACCACTTTTCCTTTCTTTTCAGGTTAGTTACAACTTTGTTTCCCCGATTCTGAAGGACAAAACTCAGTTTCCTTTCTTCTACCCAATGCTCCCTACTGAAGGGTTCCAGTACTCAGGGATGGTCAAACTGCTCCTCCATTTTAGGTGGAGTTTGGTTGGTCTGATAGCTCCGGATAGTGACCAGGGGCAGAAATTCATGACAACGTTGACCCCCCTGCTGATACAAAATGGCATTTGTCCAGTTTTATCACAGCGATTTTTAACCACCACTCGTAATATCGTCGTAGATTTGCCTCCATATCGGAACTGGAAGCAAGTGAATGTCTTTCTTTATGCTGCAGAACTCGATTCGATCAATGCAGGAATAGCAATTCTAGACTGGGTACAGCAAAGACTTAAGGAACCTGCTGCAGGAAAAGTCCTGGTGACAACGGTGCTCTGGGACTTAACTTTCTATTTGATAGACCAGGGAATTTCCTTTCATTCCATGCATAGCATTGTTTCCTTTCTTTTGAAGACGAATCAATTGACAAAGTGCGGTGGATATAGGAAGCTTTACGTCTTCATTAAACACTTTGCCGAAAATTCTTATACGTGCTCAGAGACCAAGGATGACTTTTCGGTGAAAGTTTGGAGACGGTGCAAAGAAACAGATGAACTGGAGACTTTGTCCTTGGAACAGATGGGTCAGATCCTTTGCTTAGACAACTATTACATTTACGAGGCCATCTGGACTGTGGCATGGGCCTTACACGCAGCCTATTTTTCCAGATCCAAGAGGACAAAGACAGAAGGCAGTAAGACATTGGAATTTTCAAGGCTGAAGGCTTGGCAGGTATTTCTTTCCTGATACGTGCATCTCTCCTTCAGCCAAGAATTCATTTTGGGACTGTAAGAACTGGGCAGCTCTTCTGGAATATAAAATCACTTATTCTGAATACAAAAAAAGGAATTAATTTTCAACTTTCCATTCCTCTCCCTTTGGCATTCCCTCCATTCCTTTCCCTTCTGTAGCAATATATTCTCCTTTTAAATTGGTTGTCAAAAAGAATGTTACAAGCTACCTTTTCCCTCAATCAAATGTCTCTTAATGTCCTGCTTATCTTTGCAAGCAAGTAATCAGAATAGAGCTTGGAGGTCATCTAGTCCAACCACCTGCTCAAGCAGGAGACCCTATACCATGTTGAAGCTCTTCTTAAAATCTCCAGTGATGAAGCACCCACAACATCTGAAGGCAAGGTCTTCCACTGGTTAATTGTTCTCACTGTTAGGAAGTTCCTCCTTAATTCCAGGTTGCTTCTCTCCTTGATCAGTTTCCATCCATTGTTTTTTGTCTTGCCTTTCAGAGCTTTGGAAAATAAGTTGACCCCTTCATTTTTATGGCAGGCCCTCAAATACTGGAATATTGCTATCATGTCACTCCCTGGTGACAAACAGAAGAAAATTGAGCCAGGGCATGCCTCCTTAGTCCCATAAGATCAACTACAGGGGAAATTCTAGAGACTCTAAAAAGAGTACAGAGCAGACCAACAAAGAGGATTAAGGGACTGGAGGCTAAAACCAGGGGTGGGATTCTTTCCACCAGTTCACACCTATTCTCTAGAACCGGTTGTTAACATTCTAAGCAGTTCGGAGAACTGTTTGTTAGAAGAAATTACTGGCCTAATCCTGTAAAGAAGGCAGGAAGGAAACATTCTGGTGTTGCTTACAGAAACTGCCTCTCCGTTAACCCTTATTACATTCTTGGCAGGACTAGACTTCCTGTCTTAGGAACATCTCTGGAGTTTTTTTCCCCTTCTTTGCTGGTACTTTGCTTGTGTGGAGTGACCATTCAAAGTTACAATGGCACTGAAAAAAGTGACTTATGACCATTTTTCACACTTATGACTGTCGCAGCATCCCCACAGTCATGAGAGGCCAGGTGAGGAGATGCATGCCTCGATGTGAGTGATGTTGAGTTGGCCACACCCAGCCAATAACATGACCACCAAGTCATGTTCACCCAGTCACATGACCACCAAGCCATGCCCACAACCTACGCCATGCCCACAGAACTGGTTGTTAAAAAATTTGAATCCCACCCCGGCTAAAACATATAAAAAACAGTTGCAAGAACTAGGTATGTCTAGTTTAATGAAAAGAAAGACTAGAAGAGACATGATAGCAGTGTTCCAATATCTCAGGGGCTGCCACAAAGAAGAAGAGGGGGTCAAGCTATCCTCCAAAGCCCCTGAGGGCAGGACAAGAAGCAATGGGTGGAAACTAATCAAGGAGAGAAGCAACTTAAAACTAAGGAGAAATTCCCTGACAGTAAGAACAATTAATCAGTGGAACAACTTGCCTCCAGAAGTTGTCAATGCTCCAACACTGGAAGTTTTTAAGAAGAGATTGGATAACCATTTGTCTAAAATAGTATAAGGTTTCCTGCCTAAGCAGGGGGTTGGACTAGAAGACCTCCCAGGTCCCTTCCAACTCTGCTATTATGTTATTCTGTTATTCTCTTCTGTAAGGAAGTCAAAGGGATCAGTCTGCCATGGTTTTATCATGTGTGTTCAATTGTCATTTCCTTAGAGATGTATACAAAGAAAGATCATTAGAGTTCATAAGTCTGGAATGAGATACTTTCAGGGAAGTTTTCCAATAGTTTCTTGTTTCCTTCAATGGTGTCACTAGCTCAAGCAGTTTAGGATAATTGGGTTTTTTATGTTGGTTATTATGAACTGGGACATCCAAGAATATCTGTACAGTTTGAATACAGCTTATTAAGTGGGCTTCTTCATTTGTTTTAGCAAAAGACCAAGAAACCCATAATAAATAATAACCGATCACCACAATTTATTAACTAATGTTGGAAACTGATGTAATTGCAGGCATTCAACCAATAAACCAATTGGAAGTTTGTGGAGCAGGTTTCCCACAAAGCTTTTGTGGCTCTAGTACAAGGCGATGATAGAGAGATGAGTTGGTAACCTCTAAGCGTTTAATTCCATGATAGGTGAGAACACTTTACACAGTGTTGAGCTATAGTGGAGCTGTGGTGGCACAGTTGTTAGAATGCAGTACTGCAGGCCACTTCTGCTGCCTATTGGCTGCCTGAAATTCAGCAGTTCAAATCCCACCAGGCTCAAGATTGACTCGGCCCTCCATCCTTCTGAGGTGAGTAAAATGAGGACCCAATTGTTGGGGGCAAGAGGCTGACTCTTTAAACCACTTAGAGATGGCTATAAAGCACTATAAAGCAGTATATAAGTCTAAGTGCTATTGCTATTACTATAGGATAGTGATGGCTAAACATTTCAGCACCAACTTCCCAAAGCACTCGCGTATGCATCCCCAAAATTCAATATGTGTGTGCCCCACCCCGCAAATGCACACGCATCCCTGTGCATGTCTCTCCATGCCCCCCGTGCATGTGTGGCAGAGATCCCAACACCAGTTGGCTGGCAGGAGACGTATGCGCATGCACTGCAAAGCTGAGCTGGGGCAACGGCTCATGTGACCACAGAGAGGGCTCTGCGTGCCACCTCTGGCATATGTGCCATAGGTTCACTATCACAACTATAGGTAAAGATAAAGGTTCCCCTCAAACATATGTGCTAGTTGTTTCAGGCTCTAGGAGGCAGTGCTCATCTCCATTACAAAACCAAAGAGCCAGCGCTATCCGAGGATGTCTCCGTGGTCATGTGGCCAGCATGACTGAATGCTGAAGGCGCACAAAATGCTGTTACCTTCCCACCGAAGTGGTCCCTATTTTTCTACTTGCATTTTTTATGTGCTTTCGAACTGCTAGGTTGGCAGAAGATGGGACAAGTAATGGGAGCTCACTCCATTGCGCAGTGCTTGGGATTTGAACCGCCGAACTGCTGACCTTTCTGATTGACAAGCTCAGCATCTTAGCCACTGAGGAGAAGGCAAAAAGATGAAAATATCATGAGAACATGCCAGAATTTCAAAAGCCTCTTCACTCAGAAACTGGGGGGAAATCAGAGGTGATATTCAGCAGGTTCTGACTGGTTCTGGAGAACCGGTAGTGGAAATTTTGAGTAGTTTGGAGAACCGGCAAATACCACCCCTGACTGGTCCCGCCCCTATTCTCCACCTCCCAAGTCCCAGCTGATCGGCTGGGTCTTCTTTTGTTGCCCTGCAGAGGAGAACAGAGTTGGAAAGCAGGTTAGTGGGGTAGGGAGGGAATGGGATTTTGCAGTATCCTTCCCCTGCCATGCCTACCAATCTACACCCACAGAACTGGTAATAAAAAATTTGTATCCCACCACTGGTGGAAATGTAAAATGCTTAGCATTCGCACAACAGACACAAAATGTACACATCTGCTAAGAAAGCTGTTTTAAATGAAATAGACTGGACAAAGATAGTTGGAGGAAAGGGAAAAAATCAAAGTAACCTTGCCTAGATAAAAGCTGGAACAGGCTTTCAAGTCTCATAATATCCTCCAGACGTGGCAGGTCAAGAAACAGACAATATAGGGACTCCAGGTACAGTATTCTATTTTTCCATGGGCATAATTACAGAATCCAGAAACTATTCAACTATTAAGGATTATAATTCAAACATTGATAGATTGTCTCCTGGAAAACTTGGGAAAAATGAATCTGAGATCTTCACTGTTTTCTTGTCATACAAATCAATTACTTTCCACAAATATCCTATCTAAACATTCCCATTTTCTCTTCCATTCCAGCTTCATCCCTTCCTTGAAAACCCTGAGATTTACAATGCATCCATAAATGGAGTTCTTCTGGATGAGAAAGGAGATCTGACAGCTGATCTAGTCATTGTCAACTGGCTGTTTCTCAACAAGTCAATTAAAAAAGTCCTGATTGGCACCCTAGAAAAACAGGGATCCCTGGATTTCACCTTTATGGTCCATCTGAATGGTGTGACATTGATGGATCAGCTGAACAAGGTAAGAAAAACATTTTTCAGTCTTTGTGACTTTCTTGTCAACAGGATTGTTTTCTTGGGATCAAGAGGGATTTTGAATATCATCAAACTTAGAACTACACCGCCTTTGGCCTGACCTAAGCTTAGTACACAAAATTGCCTGCTACAACATCCTACCTATCAACCACAATAACACATGGGCAAACAATAGATACAAACTCAAAGTAAACTGCTCCAAACTCAATTGCAGAAAATATGACTTTAGCAACTGTGGTCAATGCTTGGAGCTCACTACCTGACTCCGTTGTTACATCCTCAAACCCCCAAAATTTTAACATTAAACTGTTTACAGTGGACCTCACTCCAATCCTAAGAGGTATATAAGAGGGCATGCATAAGCACACCTATGTGCCTACCATCCCTTTCCCACTGTTCCCATTTATTCGTACCCATTTATTATGAATATACTTATACCTGTTTATACTTATATGTTATGTTCATACTTATACTTGTTTTCTCATACATGCTTGACAAACTAAACTAAATAAATAAAACACCCTCTAAGACAGGCAACAATACTTTGGTTAGATATTAAACTCTCTGTGAGAAATATATCCTTACCAAGAAAGAAAAATATTTGTAGCTCGGAACTGACATGAGGGGTCCTTGATGATCTCTGAACTTGTAATTTTCTTGCGGACATTTCATTACACAAACTAGGTAACATACCAGTCTACAACACACAGTCCTTTCAGCAGTTCCAAGAAGGCTTCACACCTGTTTGCACCACTCAGGTGACCCTGAGGACACAGATAAACCCCCAGGTGGCCTTAACAGCTTGCTAAAAGAATGCAAATGACCAGCTGTCTGCAAGAAGTATAAATCCTTCCATTCCCCACCATCCAATCACAGCTGAAGAAGCTTCTTAGATAAGAAGTGAAAAGTTTTCAAAGAAAAACAAGCCAGTCCAGTTGCACCTTTAAGTAACATTATTAGAGTACTTAGCTGGGTAATGAAACATCTGCAAGAAAATTGCCAAGATCAGACAGCACCAAGGATCTATCAATATGTCCAGTAGTGCAATTCAACCGGTGTAACAACCGGTTTGGTGAGCACGCACTTCGCGCACGCATGCACAGCATTTAGAAAAGACCATTTTTAGCTATAATACTTATCTTCTGCTGCATCCCCAGTGAGTAAAAGAGCTGATGCGCGGCAAACTGCCCTGCCGCATGAATCAGCTGTGCTCAAAAATAAGGAAATAAAGCACAGGAAAAGGGGAGGGGTGGGCAGGTGGGGCCAAATGTTCACCAGAACTACTGGTTCACCTGACCGGTCTGAACTGGTAGAATCCCACCCCTGAATATATCCTTAATAATTTAAGAAAAGTTTCACTATTCTGTGAAGAGAAATACATTAGAGCCAGTGTCAGCCTTTAAGAACCTTTCTTCTGCTTGTCTTTCCGACTGTCATAGTAATGGGGGGGGGGGTAAATTGGGCTTTGTGGTGGGGGGAAGAGTGCTGGAGGCTTGAGAGGGTGAACTGTAAGACTTGGGAAAACTTTCTTGTTTATGCTTACTTGCTTATTGCACAGCCGTGGCATCTAATCTATCCAGGCCAAGGTCAATGGCCAGATGTCTGAATCACCACCTGAAGATGCCCCAGATGACATTATACACATCTTATATTGGATGGCCAGTTTGAACTATTGGGATGGGAACATTGCCATCACTTTGTATATGTGATTTTCACGCCTAATGCCTCAGATCTAGAATTCTTTTGATGCTACCACTTGATTTCCAGGAAAAGTCCTTTTCTCTATAACAGTGGAGTCAAATGGTTTCTTTCTTGGATTTTGAATGGAGCCTCACCTAACAGCCAGGTTAGGCTCAGGTTCATTTCAAGGGGTGGGATTCAAATCTTTTAACAACCGTTTCTGTGGTTGTGGCTTAGTTCGTGGATGTGGCTTGGTGGTCATGTGACTGGCTGGGTGTGGCCAATGCAATATCACTCACATCGAGGCACGCATCTCCTCGCCTGGCCTCTCATGACTGTGGGGATGCTGCAACAGTCGTAAGTGTGAAAAATGGTCATAAGTCACTTTTTTCAGGGCCATTGTAACTCTGAATGGTCACTCCACACAAGCAAAGTACCAGCAAAGGAGGGGGGAAAAACTCCAGAGAAATTCCTGAGACAGGAAATCTAGTCCTGCCAAGAATGTAATAAGGGTTAATGGAGAGGCAGTTTCTGTAAGCAACACCAGAATGTTTCCTTCCTGCCTTCCTTACAGGATTAGGCCAGTAATTTCTTCTAACAACCAGTTCTCCAAACTGCTTAGAATGTTAACAACCAGTTCTAGCGAATAGGTGCGAATCTGTAGTATCCCATCCCAAAAGAAAAATAATCCATTAAAATTTACCATGATCATTTCAACATGTAAATTTAGAATCCAAATTAAAAACAGAAATGTACAAAAAAAATTAGAAAAGAAGGAATGGAAGCAACAAAGTAGATTGTTGAAGTTTCTTATATAGATTGACATACATTTACTAAAGCTAAGCCTTGAACTGGAGATCACCAACCCCTTTCTCTTTTCACCATTCCTGGAAATTAAATCATAAATCATTTTCTGGATGGTCTTCCTCCCTCTGCCCAGACTCTGCCTCCTTCCAGGTGTGTGGAAAGCTGCCATCCTGGATTTATGAAGGTGCCTCAGGAAGGGAAGCCCATCTGCTGCTACAACTGTCTTCTGTGTCCTGAAGGAACCATCTCCACCATGGAAGGTGGGTAGCACCAAAGGATGCTGTCTATACATGGGAGAGAAGGAGTGGGCTTCAAAAAATTTAGCAATGGGTTCTCTGCTCGGTTGCTGGGTGGGTGTGGCCATGGTGGGCGTGGCCTAGGCGGCCTCCTGCACCATGGGTGTGAGGGTGTTTTGCACTCCCCAGGCTCCAGAGGCTTTCCTTGAGCCTCTGGGAGGGTAAAAATGGTCACCCTGGGCTCCAAAGGCTCTCTGGAAGTCAGCCTAAATTTGAACAGAGGATTATAGCTTTCTACAGAACAAGGAGCTTTAAGGTAAATGTTACTTTTGCTCTTTTTCAGACACACAACAATGCAGCAAATGTCCAGCCGATCAACATCCAAACAACAACCGAGATAGCTGTGTCCCCAAGATGAAGACTTTTCTATCCTATCAAGAAAAATTGGGGGTCATCTTGATGTCCATTGCCCTGTTCCTCTTTTTCATCACATCTTTTGTCTTGGGGGTTTTCTTTAAATTCCAGGAAACTCCCATAGTCAAAGCTAACAATAGGGATCTCTCTTATATCCTCCTGGTTTGTCTCCTGCTTTCCTTCTTCACCTCCTTCTTGTTCATTGGCCAGCCAAGGAGAGTCACCTGCCTTCTTCGACAAACAGCATTCAGCATCATCTTCTCTGCTGCCATTTCTTCAGTTTTGGCTAAAACCATCACAGTGGTGCTGGCTTTCTTGGCCACAAAACCAGGGAATAATGTGCAAAGATGGCTGGGGAAAAGTTTGGCCAACTCTATCATCCTTTCTTGCTCTGGTCTCCAAGTTCTTCTCTGCAGCATCTGGTTGGGCAGTTTCCCACCCTTCCCTGAGTCTGACATGCACTCACAATCTGGAGAAATCATTCTACAGTGCAATGAAGGCTCTGTCACCATGTTTTATGCGGCCCTTGGTTATATGGGCTTCCTGTCCACCATCTGCTTCACAGTGGCTTTCCTGGCCAGGAATCTCCCTGGGGCCTTCAATGAAGCCAAGCTTATTACCTTCAGCATGCTGGTCTTCTGCAGTGTCTGGGTGTCCTTCATTCCCACATACCTGAGCACCAAAGGGAAGTACATGGTGGCTGTGCAAGTCTTCTCCATCTTGTCCTCCAGTGCAGGACTTCTTGGATGCATCTTCATTCCCAAGTGTTTCATTATTTTCCTAAGACCAGATCTGAATACAAAAGAATATGTGATGTCAAAATAAAATAGACACACGGGTTTTGGTAAATATGTTCCAAAATTTCTGTTAATCATTCTGATAAACAACCCTTAACATTTTAATGTCCTCCCCCCCAAAAGAAAAACATACCTCCAGAAAGTCCAGTAATATTGCCCTTTCAATATCCTGAGCCACAGTGGCACAGTGGTTAATGTGCAGTACTGCAGGCTACTTCTACTGCCTGCTGGCTGCCTGACATTTGGCAGTTCAAATCTCACCAGGCTCAAGGTTGACTCAGCCTTCCAGCCTTCCTAGGTAGGTAAAATGAGGACCCAAAATTATTGGGGGCAATATGCTGACTCTGAAAAACGCTTAGGGAAAGCTGTAAAAGCACTGTAAAGCAGCATATAAGTCTAAGTGCTATTGCTATCATCCCCAGGCAGCACCGATTCCATTTTAGCCAACATAGGTGCCCAAACATGGGAAGAACTTATCATATTGTGAGTCTTATACCCTGTCAAATTGCCTCATGAATAAGTAGCAAAATTCTATTTAGCATGCTCTCTACTTGCAATTGAATCATGCTGTGATCTCACCATAGCAATATAGTGGTGGATATTCCTTCCAATTCTGGATTTTGACATCTGCTCTGTCTCTGGTCTGAGATTCCCTGAGAGAAGCCCATGCTTGCTAACAAGGTCACAAAGACCTCAATCTTAACTTAGCCCTAGAAACATAAGGCCCCCCCAACGCAAACCCAAAGTCACTCAGCCTTGCCAGGGTTCAGCTGAAGTCTGTAGATCGGGCTGTGAGATAGGGCTTAGCTTACAACTCTAAGGACTCTAATATAGCAGTTACAAAAAATGGGAATAACCAAATGTGAAGACTTGAAATCAGCTATTGATCAATATAATGGATAAAAATCCTCATTCTCGTGACATTTGCTATAGTTTGGTGAGCTGTACAAAAGAAGTAAGAAAAAAGGGAATATGCTTCCCACATTTTATTTATTAGCTTTATTCAAAAGAGGAGAAAACATCAACCTCAGTGGGTCTTTGGTTGATTTGACAGTATAACCAAAGTCTACCACAAATAGAGACCAACTCTATATCTGTCTATCTATTTATCTATATCATCTATCTATCCATCCATCCATCATCTATCAACCAATATCATCTATCTATCTATCTATCTATCTATCTATCTATCTATCTATCTATCTATCTATCTATCTATCTATC